AAAAGTCCTTTAGCAGGTTATCAGATTGCAAGCAACATGAACGAACTCACACAGGAGAGAAGCCGTATACATGCAAGCATTGTAAAAAGTCCTTCAGTCAGTCGTCAAACTGCAGGCGACATGAGCGAACTCACACAGGAGAGAAGCCGTATACATGCAAGCATTGTAAAAAGTGCTTTACGCAGTCATCAACTTGCAAGCAACACGAACGAACTCAAACAGGAGAGACGCCATATACATGCAAGCATTGTAAAAAGTCCTTTAGACTCTCATCAGGTTCCAAGCGACATGATCGAACTCACGCAGGAGAGAAGCCGTATACATGCAAGCATTGTAAAAAGCCCTTCAGTCAGTCGTCAAACTGCAGGCGACATGAAGAGAGACATGCAAGAGCCAGCTCGTCAAAACAGAAGCAACATGACCATTGCTCTAAATCAAGAAGAGACCTTCATGAGCCAGCTGTAACTCTCGGTGGCAAGAAATCTTGTATGCTGCCCTCTTTGACCGACGAAAATTCAAGCCAAGTTGAAAGCCTGACCTGTTGGATTTGTCTGAAGGAATTTAGTAGCGAGGTATTTGTCATCCAACATTACGACGAACATATGAGATTGAAGTGACGCTTGAACGTAACCATCATTTTAAGGTGTAAATATCCCTCTTTTTTTCCACTAGTCATCTTTAGCGTTAAAATTTTTTATAAATCGTTTCGTTAATTAACCAAGAATATCGCAACGTTCCACGTCAACGACAATCGTCTTTAATTGATACAAGAAAATCATACCAGATTGAAACCTTGCACCGATCTTAGAGCACGCAGTGGCAAAAATCACGTGATATAATCTGTCAATAATTCTTGCAATATTGAACTTAACAAGTTTGGTACAATGAAAGTAATTCAGGCCTGAAAGGGTGTTGTCGTGGAACTTATTGGCCCACATGGGGTTTTTGTTTATGTTTTGTTTGTACAGAGTTCAAATGACATTTATGATTGACATTTGATCACGAGTATTTTTATATAATATCGCATGTGCTTTTATAATTAAGTCAGTTGTGAATACGAGTCATCGAATAAACAAGTTTCAATAATCAAATGGACTGCGAGAATTCTTATTCGATAAGTGTTGATTAGTTTTAAAATAATTGTAATACCCTTATTGTTAGGAATAATAATTCTTACAACTTAATTTTTATATATTTATGTTTCAAGAACAACTGAATGAGCTTAGAAGGCCATTATAAGCAGTTATCTGCAAGTCAGATGGTTGGCTTTCGGCCAGTGAAAACTAAGAGAAAAAATGTATCAAATGATAACGACCGTTATCATTTAATGAATTTTTTTCGTCCTTTTCATTGGCTGAGAGACCATATGACTAAGATCGTTTGCCTTTGTTGACCCACCTTCGATATTTTTAACTATAAACCCCTGTAGACCATGCTGAATTACGTGCGCTAATTTTTCAAAATCAGGGTAGTTTTCCACACGCTTTATCTCTGAAACGAAGTCGGTGACCCCCAATTTGTTTTGCATTTCTGACACAAGTAACTCATTATCTGACTGCGGTAACAATTTTAAAAAAATTTATCCACTGGATCATTTTCGCGCGAACGTCCTTAGTTGGAGCAAAATGGTCTCAAAATACGTTTCGCCAATGGTCAGAAATGTTGAATCTTCATGTTTCGAAGGAATGTTTTTTGCAGAAAAAATGGTATCTGAGGGTATAAGACCTGTATATTCCAGGCAGTAACACATTATGGTAGCCTGGTCCCATTTTGAGGTTCAATTTTTCGACGCCTTAAGACACGGCCAGACAATCGCAACATTGTTGGGTAAGACATGTTGCACGCATTTGGCCATCCTGTTGCGACATGTCGGTGTTGTTTGCTCAAGTTTGAAAATGGTCAAATTTGAGCCAACAACACCCAACATGTCGCAATACATCACAACAGGGTGGCTAAACATGAGCAACATGTTGTGCTCAACAATATTGAGATATGCTGCGTTCACATGTTGCTATCAATTGGCCCGATCTTTTCAGTGTAGGTCTTAATTATGGGATACCTTATTAAATAAAACTGCAATGTGCCGGCTGTCTTAAAAGCCCAAATGCTGGAAACCAAGGTCAGGAATCCTAAAACCTGGAATTACTTTTTTCTATTATTGCAAATGAATATGGGTTTATTTTGAAATTGTCGGATCCAAATGTAAAAGATTGTATCAATACAAAAAGATTACATCACAGTCAGTGAGGACCTTTGCTTTAAGTGTTAGACTAATAGTACAACCTTTGTCTTTTTCGCATTCAATTTGCATGTTAAAAGGCGATCACATGAACAGTTTGCCGTGCTTTGAGCCAGCCAATTATAACACTCTCTCCTCAGGGCAATTAGTTTAATATCAGCCAAGACACACAGTTCCTTCAAAGAAATGACTGCAAAATTTTTATTGCAAGTCTCATAAACAACTGATTTATTTTCACTTAAGTTTTGTAACATGAAAAAAAACTAACACTTGTTTAATTTTCTAAACATATTTTTCTCGAGGTCATTTTAGATTGTGTACATGTATATTCTTAACGACATATAACAATCACAGTCTATACCTATATAAGTTTCTCATGAATAAGTTCTTGCCCAAGAAAATCATTTTTCGCACCTTAATAAACTTAAGCTACGTTGAAATTTAAATATTACTGCCTCTTAGCACCTTATGTTAATTTTTTTTCTTTTTTTAAAGTTTAATTTTTTTTTTCTTTAAAAAATATGTATCACATGTTTTCCGCCAATTAACCGTCCAGGCCTAAACAAAAGAAGTCATTCCGTGTTTTAGGATTCCGGCATAGTTTCCAGCATTCCAGCATTTTGGATTTCCAGGTCTCTGACATTCTGGCTTATAAAACAACAAGCAATGTGCGACTATAGTAAGCACCCACCTCAAAAGATGATCGTTGGAAATTTCAGGACGAAGGGAGATTTTAAAAGCCAAATTAAGTTTCTAAAGGAAAGTGTGATGCAAGACTGAAATGTCCTTAATTTGGATAGTTAAATGGCAGTACTGCCTGGAGAGGGGAAAAGAGGGGCAGGTGGTCACAGATGGAATTGACTGATGCATAAATACTTGTCTGAGACCTGGATGATCCCATACTTTTGATTCTGTTTCTTAAAAGTCTTAATTTAAAAGGAAAAATTATGATGACATGGGAAATTATGCTGCCAATGAATAACCTGATCTTAACATCTCGGAAGAAAAACTATCGATATTGTAGAAAGTCGAATTCAAGTTGACTGCATGTAGACTAAAGTCTCAGCTTCTACAAAACATTTAATTTGTGA